GTAGGAGAGAGACCTTTGATTTGTCTTTCCCCAAAGGACGTTAGCACATTTGTGAACAGTAAAGTCATGGCAAGCCTCAGAAAATCAACTGCTAAGACAAAAAGGGGGATTCGGTTCGGTCCCCGGTGTGGCCCAGAAGAATAAAGTATATGAGATACCTAGCACGGAACGTTAAACAATCTCTTTGGCTCTGGAAGTCCAACCTTAAAAATCGGGATAGCTTGCAAGGTCAATGAATTGAACAGTTTTAGCGTTAATAGAGATTTACAGCAGGTCTTAACACTCACACACTGATAGTTCACCCTTCAGTAGAGTTCCTTGTTTATAAAGAGAAAGCAAGTTCACACCAGAAGCGGCACTCGCTCCAAACACCCTGCCTTGCTTTGCCAGTCGGGTCTCAGGGACCCACTCACACAACCCAGGGCTTGAGGGCAATGCTCTCGGGAAACAAGCACTTAGAGGCTACCCCGTGCTCCCGAAGGGGAGAAAGGGAAAATAAGTGATGGGGTAATCAATTTTCCAGGACTGTACCTATTTTAGCATACCTCGCAGACATGCACGCGATGCTGACACTGAGTGGGGAAAAGCAGGTCCTGTCCTTGCTGACACCCACCTGCACGCCAAAGGCAACTGAATTATTTTTCCCAATTTGTGGGGTTTTTTTAAACTCTGCTCCATCTCAGAGAGGCTGGGAGCGTGCTGCAGCCAGTGGTAAGAGCAGGGGAGCGGTGATCAAGTCTCAATTCTGACCTTACAGTCAGAAATAACCTTTCTGGATGTTTCTGTGGCAAAGCAACACTGATGTCTGCTTAAACTCCAACACCACTGTGACCCCCACCCCTTCAGCCTTGCTTTCTCCTAGAAATAATGGCAAACCTGCATTTTTTTCCCCCCCTGCCTAGGAGTGTGTGATGCTCAGACAGGGGCTTTCTACTGATACGCAGGCAGATGTTAGCAGTGCATTGTATTAGTACCAGAACAGGAGTCACCTCCAACACGCGTGCAGGGCTCCCAGGTGGTCTAACACTCATACAAACCCTAACTCAATTTCTCTCGCCCTCAGGCATAAAGAAGTCAAGCAATCATTCACTAACTTCAATAAATTCTCTCTGAAAAAAAAAAATCAGCATTTCTCCCCAGCCTGTCCCCCAGTGAAGCATTTCCCAGGCTGCTGTTTCCCAGCATTGCTTTCAGTGGGACAAAACCCTCCTGAGCTCCTCTCCTCCAGAACTGCTCCAGCCCCTCCAAGGGAACGGGTCCACACAAAGGAGGGGTTTGATCCAGGCTGCCTCTGCCACAGCAAACTCCTCTCGCTCACAACCTCCCATTACCCTGCCCCATCATTTCCAAGTTCATCACACCAGAGACCAAAACCAGGCACTACTTCTCACCATGAGGAGCACAAAGGCTGAGGGGGTTTCTGTGGCAAGGAGCAAGCCCCCCCCCTCCAAACTCCACGTTCGTGCATGCAGCAGCGCTGCTCAGCCTTACCAAGGCAAATGCATCGGATCCTCCACTGCCAGCAACTTACTCAGGGCTGTGAGGGCTATTCTTTAGCTTAAATAAGAACCAAACGCAAGCACTTACGTGGCTGCAAACGTGATCCTGCCCCGGACCCAAGGCGGCGTGGGCCAGCCGAGGCCGAAGCAGAGAGGACACTGCGAGTCGTGTCGGCATGGCAGGCCCTTCCCCTGGCTGGAGGTGTTCGCATCAGGCCATTTAGCACAGGCACAAGCAAACAGCAGTAACGGGAAAGACCCATTTTGTATTTAGTCCTCCTTCCCCTCATGCTTAGGAGAGCTGCGTGCTGGGTAGGCAGCTCACACGCTCCCCTTGCCGAATAACCTGTGTCCCTTGCGCAGCATTGGTGCCGTTACACAGCACTTACAGCCACTAACCCGGGCTGTAAGGACCAACTTTTCAGCCAGCCCTCAGCCCTGCCACTGCTTTTGCTTCTCTGGCAAGAAACAAAGGTGTTTTCTAACCTCTTCCCTGCTACCAAATGACCTGCACCTGCAGTTCATGGAGAACAGCTGGAAGATGTTGAGTCCAAATGCAAGGAAAGGGGGGAAGCGAGGGAGACCATTGCTGCTACGGGATCTCCTTCCTCCTGGAGCACGAAGGCTCCCAACCAGCAAACAGTGGCTCCTCTGTCCAGCCGCTCGCTCCTTAGCCCCAGGAGAGGTCACAGTCCAAGAGGTTTTGCCGCTTGGGCAACCCTGGCTGCCAAGGGTGCCTCGGCAAAAGGACCAATATTGATCAGAGAAAATAAAAAAAAAATCAAGTCCAGTAGAAAAATAATTTAATAAAGGGATAAGTTTCAAGAAAATATCTGTATAGTAACAACGTTTTAAGTAAAATGTCCACAAAAAATACACATGTCTAACGTGATTATACATAAGCTTTCCAACAGGTCCTGTTTTTACCTTGGTTCAGTCCATCTAGGTTTTCATTTAGGAAAAACCTTCGCTGCTACCAGGCTTCCTGGGATATATCAGTTTGCCCAACAGAATCATACGAGAAATGTTTTCTACCTTATTTTAGGCTCATACAAATTAAACTTTATGGAGTTGGCAACAGTCCAGAAGAGTTCTGGTTATACCACATCGTTTAAAAAAAAAAAAAAAAAAAGAAAAGAAAAGGTAAATACAAACAAAGCAAGCACAAGTCAGCCACCCAAGGGACACTGTCAGGCCAGAACACCAGCCCTACAACACACACCACACTTAACACGGACACAGCTGGAAAAGGAGCGGGATGAAGGAAAGCTGGGCAAGAGAGAGGGGAAGATCCCAGGAAAAGGATTCCCAGAAATTGTGGAACTGCTTAAAGGAGTGGGCTATAGAGAAGCCAGGGAAAAGCACACAAGAGACCGACGTGTTTCTAGAAACCGGACAGTTTTATAACACTGAAGATAAGCTAATCGCAGGAAGCACTGAAAAGGAATCAGCAGAGAATGTTTATTTCTCATTTTTCCAAATGGCTACTGAGCTGTAGAAATAACAGGTCTGTCCCAAAGAGCCCTCGCCAGCAGTGCTAATTCAGCTGAACAGCTCCAAAACTGATGTACTTCCAGGAGAGAGAAAGCCGGTTACAGAAATTGAAGGATGCCAGAGTACAGTAAAAAATAAAGAAAGCGTGTTCTACCAGCAGAGGCCAGGAATGAAACGCTGAAGAGGAGATGCCAAACAAGAGATACCAGTTTTGTCAAAGGGAGATGTATACCACCACAACAACAACAACAAACCGAAACAAAAAGACCAGAACAAAAACCCATCCTGTAGAAAGAAAATGGAAAATTGCTAAAGAAATAAAAGGACACACATTTTCCAAAAGATTTTTTGTTTTATAATCAAATTTTTTTTACATAGACAACTGAAACACACCAGTATTTTGTGCGAAAAATATTTTTAAATAAACTTTGCTCGTTCTCGATTTTTGTACATTCTGATATACATATGTAACAAGGTTTATGGCACTGTAACCAGGATCAAAATCATATAAAGGAACGAAATAATTGCTCTCATTTATCCTTTCTGAACCAAGCCGGCTGCCGTTGCACTATTAGACTTTAAAAATTATCATCTTATTATTAGCAGGCAGCCAACTCTAATCGGTTTGAACACTCAAAACAAACCCCAAATTATTATTGCACAAGAAGCCAGTGAAGGCATATGGCATAGAATGATCAAAGTCCCTTACTGTTAAAACCTTACACCCCAAAATAGAAAAATAGAACTGGAACATGAAACACGCTAAATAAACTTTTTTTTTCTTCTTCTTGAGTCAGGAGTGTGAAAAGTGCCTTGCAGCCTTTTTAAGCTGCTCCGATTTCCTTTGCATCGGTGAGCATTTAGCTAGGTTATCTTTAGCAAAGCCTTTGCAGAACGAAGGCCCTTATGTTTCAGGGAGGTTTTTTTCCTGCTTTGTTTTGGTTGTTTGTGTTTCATCTTCAACTTAGGTTTCTTCAGTCTATGAACCTGCACAGACTACTTAGCCATAAACTCTACAAATAGCTGGAGAGGAGGGAAAAATAAAAAGAAAAAAAAAAAAAAAAGCCCAGTATTTCTTCTTCTTGTTTTGATTTTAAAAAGTTCTCCTTTTGTTCCAAAGCCTCCCTGCTCTGCCAGTGCCTGGGAAGGAAATCACAACAGCATCCCAAACACGGCGAAGTTCTTGATCTCTTTTAAAAACCTTTCCTTACAAAAAAAGGTTTTTATTCACAAAAGGTTTGCCACAAAACCCCCCTTGAAAACTAAAAAGAAAAACCCACAACCCACCCGTCGCTGCCCCAAATCAGGTTAACCCCTTCATCGACCACCTCCTCGCAGCTTTGCTGTCACACGACAGTCTCTACGCCGATCAGCTTTGGTGTGAGGATTCGTGGTGTAACGCCGTTGTTTAGATCTTCTTCGAACTCCAGTAACTGCCCCATAAAGTTAAGGTTAGGGGAAATGATTGGTCGCTTGCCTTTTACGAATTTATAGGCATCCGTCATGGTCATGCGTGTGTGCTTCATTAAGTACGCGATAACTATGGTGGCAGATCGGGAGACACCAGCCTGGCAGTGGATGAGGAGACCTTTTCCACACTGATGAGCTTCCTCTGGAAAGGAGAAAGACAGAATAAAGTAAGATTTTTGCCAGTTTGTATATTAGAAAACGCTTGCTGCAATTAAGAGTAACTTAACGTGAAGAATCCCTTTATTTGATTACAAGCACAGCAGCATCTCCTCCCCTCCAGTCCATCTTCCTTCAGGGTTTCCAAGTTACTGAATGGGAAACACACAGGCCAATCTCACACTGAAAACCCTCACGCTCACTTTTATCTCTTTATTAGACAAACTGCACACTGAGACGCTTCCGTGCTGCTCACATGCACTGCCAGGGAGCGTTTGTTTAGGAGGTCAAGACCCATGACGAGGCAACTCAGGCTCCATCTCCACCTCCGTCACAACGCCACCGTGTTACGTCGGCATCTCAACCTCCCTGTCTTTCAAAGCAGGACACCACCTTTTCAAAAAAACAGGTATTTTCAGATTCAATTTGTAGCAGTACATCTGTTTCAAAGCCCTACGAGGGGAAATGGTCTGAAGTTGCACCAGGGCAGGTTTAGGTTGGACATTAGGAAAAATTTCTTCACAGAAAGGATTGTCAGGCCCTGGAATGGGCTGCCCAGGGAAGTGGTTGAGTCCCCATTCTTGGAGGTATTTAAAAGCCGGGCAGACAAGGTGCTTAGGGTCATGGTTTAGTGGTGGGATGGCAGGGTTAGGTTAACTGTTGGACTTGGTGACCTTAAAGGTCTTTTTCAACCTAAACAATTTTATGATTCTATTCTTTGAGGCTTTTACAAAGCTACTCTTGAAATGAGCTTAAATGTGGCACTCCGCTGCGGTGTCCCTGCAAGAGCTGGATCCAGTTGATACCCCAGCAAGACTCCAGTGGTAAGAGACCTCAAATTGTGCCTCCTCACTTCCTGCATGCCAAGCTCTCCCTGCTTCAACTTGGTCACCTTCAGCAGTGAGAAAAAGGGATTTGTCATCCCCATCTCTGCACGATTTGAGCACAACATCACATTCAGCTGAATGCTACCCCCCCGTCCTGCCTCAAGCTTCTCACCAGGAGTGGTGGGGAGGGAGGGGAACGACAGTCAATCACACACACACAGTCTCCACCAAGATACATCACTTAGAGGGATGCAACCTGGGCAGGATTTAGGGAGGGCACAGCCCCTGGAACCACATGCTAATAGGACACCAGAGGGGAGTCACTACCATACCATCCTCATCTCCCACAGCTTGCTTTTAGAACAGGAGGTAAAACTTTCAAGATGTGATACTTCAACCTATTTCTTCTGTTTTAACCCGCAGGAGGAGCATGAATTTAGTTTCCGAGTTTTGGCATGAGTCTAACCCCACTAAGAGTGCTGTTCATCCTACCCCACATGTTCAACCTGTATTGTGAAAGCATAGATGAAGCCAGCTTCCCTCCGGACATTTTTGCCAGTTAGTGTTTCAGAAAGCTGAAACTCTAACACATTTTGACACGCTTTCCCAGAGAGTTTTTGATGATTTCACTTCCTATGGCTTTAGTCTTAGCTAAACCTGGGTTTGGTTGTGTTTTTTTCAAGACATATTTAAAGAAACAGAGGCCAGTAAGCTTCTGTTTAAACATTTCCAAATCTTCTCAAATGCAATTTAAAGTTTACCCTGAGGAAGGGAAAGCTTTGAGTAGTTACTTCCCCAGCTGGCTAAGTTTGCTATGGAAAAAAACTCCCAATGGAGAAATATTTGTTTATTAAAAGCAAAGACAGACCCTCAAGCTGTATTTATTAAAAAAGAAAGTAAAATGGGGTCTGAAACACTTTCCAAACCTTTTCAGAGCAAGGCTGCTTTCTCTGCACTACCTTTTAGTGGTTCAGAGAGCTCTAATCCTGCAGCTCATAGGGATGCTGGGTGCAGAGATCTCCCTCCGAACCTCAGGGGACCTCAACAGAGCTTTGCAGTTAGTTCATGTAAGCTTAGACCATTGCATCTCTCCATCTTGTTGAATTCAAAGTGTAAGGTTTTACTGGATTTCTTGACCCAACTTTTCTTCCCAAAGGATCAAAGCAAGGTTCCTTCTCCCCTGCCTTCAGAAAGGGCTTCCCTTCACCCAAAAATGGGTGTTCACCTTCCCATGCACATAGTAATCAGTCTGGGGAGCTGACAGCACTAGTGGTAGAGCCAGGGTTGGGTTAGGAACACTAGGGAAAATTTGGGTTTAAGCAGAGATCCTTTGCTCCTCTACGCTGTGGAAGCCAAGCCCAAGGGCTCCTGGTGGAAGCTCTAAGGGGTAAGACTCGAACTCTAATGCAGCACACCATCTGAACAGCAGCGGCAGCAGCAATTTGCCCATTCACCTTCACCAATGTAGCACGGCTACAAGCTGCACGCACCAGCACACAACGACCCCCTGTAACCAAAACACAGCCAGAGCAGGCTGACACACTGTCGGCTTCAGAGCAGCGAGCCTCTGCCCAGGCGTACGGCAGGGGGAGGTGGGCTCAGAAAAATATGCTGAGCTTGGACCTCCTGCCCCAGGACCCAGTCCCACAACTGTGGCCCAATCCTTGCCAAGCCCCAGAGCACCTCCACAGAGCCAGCACAAGCAGGCTTGAGTTTCAGGAGCCATGTAACCACACCCTGACTACAGGGCCATAAACACTGATGGTTTGAGGGCAGGGAGGAAGATGGCTCTGCACCCACTTCAGCATGGGGACAGCTAAGGGCCTAAACCGTGACACAGCACAGAAGCACACTTCCTTCATCAAGTCCTCCAGCATGGAGCCTGAAGCACTGGTAAAGAGATTAGCCCAGCCTCAGCACAAGAAAATAAAATTATGTGTGTCAGTGGTCCCCCCAGCATAGCCAAGAAAACCTCTCAGGACACGTACTTGTGCTGAGGAAGCACAAGTGGACATTCACTATGCTGTAAAAGCTGTGCCCACAGAGACATTTAGAGGGGCAAGGGAAGGTCCTCAAAAGCTTTCAGGATCAGGTGCTAATGTCCTCACTGGCCCATCTTGCTTGACGATGCTTTAGCCTAGATGACCAACCAGAGCTGAATGTACCCCTGAACTTGGCTGAGGGTTATTGTGTGTGGATGGTACAGAGGTTCAGAGCAACATGGGTAACATTGCTGGGTCACTTCTTCAGCAACCTCCCCAACAAGCTGGATGTCGGTGGTTAATGCTCTCACACAGCCTACAAGGTTTAGAGGCTTATTAATACAAGCTTTCATCCCAATCCACTCATCTGCACATATACTCTGTATAAACCTCATCTTAGAACAAGGGAAGTGTGAAAGTTTGTCAGTCTTCTCACAAAGTTAAGTTAGGAAAGACTCAGCCATCATTAAGAATAGTTACTATGAAAAATTGGCTGGAAGCCACTGTGGAAACTTGGAACGCAAAGGTATCAAGAAGAGTGGATGACAGAAGTCTCAGTTTTCTGGGGATTCCTGAATTTGGAAGCCTGGAGGTAGACATCACTATCAATGGGTAGAAATTGTACCCCTGGGCTACTGAACTGGATATGCCAGAGATGAGAATGAGTAGAAGCATGAGGTGCTCAGCATTTCTGACAACCTAAACAAGAGTAAATATGGCCTTACACAGCCTTCAGGGTAGCTAGCCAAGCATAAAACTCAGTCTAGATTCTTACAACAGGTAAAAAAAAAACCAAAACAGGAGTATTTCTAGTCAAGGGTAATTACCAATGAACTCAAAAGCCTCTTCAAAATACTGCCTGAGATTCTGCTTGTTGCTGTCAGTGGCCGGGAGCCGCTTGTAGTTGAACATGCCTTTCTCGTAATGGTACAGGGGCAGGTGGGTGGTCACATTGATTACATAGCCTATGTTCATCCTCTGCATTTTCTCCAAGTCCTGAGCATCGTGCTCGTTTCCGAGGAAGAGGAAGGGCAGGATGGGGGTGAGCTCAGCATTCTCGATGTCCGGCGTGGTGGGGATGGACTGAGGTAGCGTGGGGGGCACAGCGGATGCGCCGCCCCCTCCTCCCCCCTCCGGGCACTCTTGCAGCTGGAGGGAGTTATCGCAGAGGTTTTCGTGGTTCTGCTTGAAACCGCTGAGTCCTCCTGGGAAGAGAGACCAAGCAGATATTTTGGTTAGACACCCTGAGGTTGGCAATGCTTTGAACCCACCTTTCTTTGGAGTGCACACTGGGGCCACCAGGACTGGAGCTGGCTCTACTGTCTCCACCACCACTGTCATGGTGACCAATGCTGGGCATGGCCACCAACGGCAAGGGTGGCATGAATCAGCAGCACGCATTGTCCTCCCCTCCATGAGGCTGACTGTGCCAAGGAACAGGCTCACAAGCACCGCTGCAACATCAGTGCTCCGGGGGCTGCCTCACCTGCGAGCCCATAGGAGGAAGCAAAAGCAGGGGGTGGAGGCCCCATCCCTGGAAACATTCAAGACCAGGTTGGACGGGGCTCTGAGCAGCCTGACCTAGTTAGCGGTGTCCCTGCTCCTGCAGGGGGGTTGGACTGGATGACCTCTAGGGGTCCCTTCCAACCCAAACATTCTATGATTCTATTATTAAGACAAAAGGCATTTTTCCTCAAGAAGGAAAACATCACCAAAACTATGAGCAAACGGGCTAGGAGCACACCAAAGGACAGCAGTGAGCTAGCCGGGACAGTCTTTTAGAATCATAGAATGTTTTGGGTTGGAAGGGACCCCTAGAGGTCATCCAGTCCAACCCCCCTGCAGGGAGCAGGGACACCGCTAACTAGATCAGGTTGCTCACAGCCCCGTCCAACCTGGCCTTGAATGCTTCCAGGGATGGGGCCTCCACTACCTCTCTGGGCAACCCCTGCCAGTGTTTCACCACCCTCATTGTAAAGAATTTCTTCCTTTTAGCCAGTCTGAACCTACCCTGGTTTAGTTTAAAACCATTACCCCTTGTCCTGTCACAGCTGGCCCTACTGAAAAGATCTTCCCCATCTTTCCTACAGGCCCCCTTTAAGTACTGAAAGGCCACAATCAGGTCTCCTGGCAGGCAAATCTGCTGTGGACAGGTAAAGCTTGTTCAGCCTGGAGAAGAGAAGGCTGCGGGGAGGGGTGGGTGCAGCTCACACCAACATCGCTCTGGGGAGCAGTACATATGCATTTGTGTGGCCAAACGAAAGAAAACACCACTCCTCGTAACCTAACTGCAGCCGAGGTGCCCACTTAACATGTGGTGAACAGTTCTCCTTTTTCTGCCCCAATTGCCTGAAAATATCTAGCAAGAGTTATTTTTAGGACATTAATATGGATTGGGAAATGGATCCGAGGGGGGGAGGGAGGAGTAATTTCTTTTGGCTTGCGCCTCTACTGGCTCTACTGCACATTTTGCTGGCTTATTCAAGCAGCATTCCCCCCCCCCTTTTTTTTTTCCTCTCCCCTCAGGAAGGCAGCTCCGCAGAACTGGAGCGAGAAAAGCAGACCTTCTTTCTGCACCTCATTCGGCAATTACATCAGCCCCAGGCTCCCCACCTGCCCGGTTTCCATAGCGATTACACAAAGCACACAATGACATCAGCTGGCATGACATCAGCTCTTTGAGCGCAAACAATACAAGAAGAACTACTTTGTGTAAGGCCTTTGGTAGGAGGCAGCGTTCCTGGGAGCCGCTGATGTAATGCTAACAGGTGGCTCCTCCGAAAGAAAAAGGCGGAAAGAGGAGAAATGCAATGATATATCCCTCCCCCTCAACCTTGCCTGCAAAAGCACACGTTTACGTTGTACCAGGATACTTGGAGTCATGCACCGCACTGAGACGGGCCAAGTGTTCCGATTCAATTGCACTTTGTTAAATGCAAGCCAAAAAAAAAAAAACCAAACCACCACCCACACACACCCAGGAGGGGGGAAAGCTACACTGAAGTTACTCGAAAGAACTACACTAGCCAAAATAAATGCTGAATGTCACCATCCTACTAATCTTTTTTTGTTTGGGTTTGTTTGTTGTTTTTTTTTTTTTTTAAAAAAAAAAAAGACATTATTTGTCTATTTGTCTTTTCCATGCTCTTTGACAGTGATCTGGCAAAGGACATTTTTAAACCAGAGCAAAACACGCTGCCACACCAGCTCTGGATTAGATACAGCAAAGGGCTTCCACGCCTGCATCTCAAGTGCTGCAACTCCAAATGCCCACACGCCTCTACCCGCACGGCGGGACCCCTCCAGGGCCCATCTTGGTGCCCTGTGCAGTATGTGATGGGCCGAAGGTACACAGACCAGGTCACAACAATCCGAGCTCCTCTAATACAAGTGCCCTTTTTAACATCCAGATTTCTGTTCTTCACATGCTGCTAGTAACTCACTTTCCCAGAGCATGCTTGTCTTCAGTGTTTCTGCTGTTTACAGGACACAGAGCAAACAGATCTGCCTTAAAGATCTCTACTCACAGCAAGTTGTGATAAGAGGGGAGAGCAAGGACAAAAATCTGAGCTTGACTGCCAACTGCAACACCTGGCCTTGACAGGGTCTGAAAAGTCTTCTTAGTTGGCTCAGGAAAACAAACAAGGTCCCCAAGCTGAAGATGTTTGAAGTCTCATCCAAACCAACAGCCCCAGCGTAGAGTCTGGTCCAAATAAGCCCTAAACCCCCATTCCCATCCTTCTGCATAGGCAAGCAATCCATTCAGCTTAAATAATGCTGTTTGAACAATAACCTGAGCATGCTGGGATTCCCAAGAAAATCCCTGAAGAATAAGCTGCATTAGCGACTCCATGAGTCAATGCTCATTTTCCACCTCTCCTGCAGCCTCCTGGGAGTTAAGAGGCCATAGGCAGAGGTAGGATCCCATTGCATCATCACTCAGGTGCGAACACGGCTGGTGTGGCAGACACCATCCTGCTTCAACAGCCGTCCTGTAAAATACAGGAAGATTTGGAGAGGCTCGAGCAAGCTCTTTCCTCACTATCTATGCCCTCCTTTTGGGGCCTCCACTTGCCCTGTTGGCCAGAAGACACTATTACTCCTGTTACCAACTCATCCTCACTGCGAGCTTCAGTCCAGCAGATGAGAATGGGGAGAAGACTACAAGAGACCATTATGTTATGCAGAGCCCCTCTGTTATCACTGTACCCAGAAGAGAGCAAGAGGTGCAGGGCAATCCCCACCACCCCAGCAGGAGCATCAGGCCAGAGGATGGGAAGGTGATCCCAGATATACCATGTGGAAGATGCCCAAACAAGTGGAGCAGCCAAACATACAATAGCTTCACCCACAATTTCTTTTTTGACATGTTCCAGTGAAGAGGTCACCTTTCCCAATGTCAGTCCACATCCCCCCCTTCTCCTTGTTCTCTTCCCTCATGTGGGTACAGAGTTAAAAAAAGTCAGTTCAAGCAATATTTAAAGTACCATACCCGAGCAACTCTCAAAGCAAATGTCCCTGAAACAACGCATTACTGGGGAGAGGATTGCTAACCTGAGCTGGCTCAGACACACGAGCAAGGGAGGGCTGGACAAGAACACTGGTACCCAGAAAGGATGCAGCAAGATAGAGTCATGGAGGGAAGCTGAACTCTAAAGCCAAGAGGAAGAGCTTAGCTTGGACCTGCACTGCCATACGAGTCATGCAGGTCCCAAAACAGGATCCAGAGACCTCACGAGTGCTGTTCCCTTAATCCACTCCCCCCACGCTCACCACACACAATCCTTGCTCACAGCTGATTTATGAAGCACTAGTGTAATTTAAGTGGAGCTCATGCATGCGTGATGCCCATTTTTTTTTCTAAAATTTGAGACTACTTCCCCAAAAAAGTCCATGCAAAGTTCATTACGACCAGTCAGAAAGAGCTGAAGTGGGATGGACTTTCTACATGAAGGTAAATACAATGTACAGGGTATACAGGCGCATCTGCATTCCTTTGTCAAACAGCTGCTATTTCAGCATTTTAAATCTTTGTGTGGTGGGGGAGAGGAAGCAGGAGAGAAGAGGCTGTACCCGGAGAGGAGGCCAACACATAGTTACTGCAAGCCTGGTCTAAGAGTTAATTTCGTTAAACTCAACAAGGACCAAAACATATGACTGCTACTGACAGCAACTCCAGATCATGAGCAAGCTCAAGGCATGGATGCAGAGACTCCACTTGTGGTTGTAACAGAAGCTGTTTTGTGGTTGAAGCTGCTGAAGCCTTCCCAAAGATAGGGCACGAAGGAAGCATTACAGAGGGCACTAACAGGGATGTGGAGGAGAAGCACAACCTGGCAGAAACCCCTCACTAGCACAAAAGTAAAGTGCCTTTTAAAGGCAGCTTTTCAGCTGCTGTTTGCAACCTGCAAAAAGCCTTCATCATATGCAGGCAGCCTAAGCAGAGAGGCAATGCAATATATCCACCACCAGGACAGACCATTAGCATGCACAGCAGTGCAGATTGAACACCACCCACGAAGCCTGGACTCAGCTGTGGAGCCACCTTCAGTGACAAACCAAAACGCCAGCAGCTAGATAAGCCACCGATGTTCACTTCTACAGAACATCATGCTTGTAACCTCGTCTCTTTTGAGCTTTAAACATACCACATAGCTTTAATAACCAAAGGAAGGCAAAAAGCCTGAACCACCCAGCCAGTTTGATGCAGCCCATGCCATGGATGCTGACAACAGCCCAAATCCTTTTGTGCACACTCTGCTCCAGAAGAGCTGCCGGGCAGACTTTCAGAGGGGACTGAACCGACCCAAATCCAAATGAAGATGAACACACAAGGATGCCCAGCACATTGAGGAACCCAAGGTATTTCTTCTATAAGGAAATGAATCAGTGAAGCAGGACCCTTCATGGCAGACGGCCTTGCCTGCAATCCCATGAAACACAGCAGCAGTCAGAGGCCTCTTGCTCGCCACTGATGGAAGAGCCAGATATTTTTGCAGTTATCACTGCATGACATCTTCCTGCCCTGCCAGAACAGTTAGTGAGCGACAACAGACTTTGGATTGTCCAAGACCTCAAAACTTTTAGGAAGTCTCAAGTCAGCACCATACATGCTCCAGCTATTCATACTTGTTTGTTCAAGTTTTTTGCAGCCATCTGCCCATAAACATCTCACTTAATGCTCCTCAAAATCCCCCGCCAAGCA